TTTGAGAGAGAAGAGTGAGAGCACAAGCAGAGGAGGGGCAGAAGGAAAGGGAGAAGCAGGCTCCTGGCTGAGCAGGGAGCCTGACGTGGGGCTCGATTGCAGGACCCTAGGATCATGACCTGAGCTGAAGGCAGACACCTAATTCACTGAGCCATCCAGGCGCCCCAACTGGCTTGCCTTTAAGTATGTCTTTTTTTTAAATTAATTTTATTTATTTATTTGACAGAGAGAGATCACAAGTAGGCAGAGAAGCAGGCAGAGAGAGAGGGAAGCAGGCTCCCCACCGAGCAGAGAGCCTGATGTGGGGCTCCATCCCAGGACCCTGAGATCATGACCAGAGCCGAAGGCAGAGGCTTAACCCACTGAGCCACGCAGGCGCCCTTAAGTATGTCTTTAAGTAAAGTCAAGTAGTGCCCAGCCCATTTGTAGACCGCAGGGCAGGAGGCTGGCCAGGCTGAACTGTGAAACCAAAGGAGCTACCGCAGACACTAGGACCGCACCAATCAGTCCATCCTGACAGGCAGAAGAATGGGCATTGGGGGCCAGCTCTTGGGGAACACAGATGAAAATAGTACCAGCCAAATCTCTGTGGCCTTCTTGGCCATCAGCCCACCACTTCCTCCCTCTGCAGAATTGCACTAAGCCAGGGGTCACAAGTCGCTGTGTATGCTACTGGAAGCCAGGATCCAGCAATCCCCTTCCTGGCCAGGTCCTCCTGCCCCCAGAATGAGGAGGGAGGAGTGTACAGTTGTTGTTGTTGTTGTTTTTTTCTTAGTAAACTGGTAAAAAGGAAGAGCTAAAGTCTAGATCCACCAGATAAGCAAATCAGCACTTTCCAGCATAACATCCAAGCATAGTTAAACTGGATGTTTTCTTTTTTCTTTTTTTTTCCTTTTTCTTTATTTTTTTAAAAAAAGATTTTGAGAGAGCAGAATGAGAGCGAGCGAGCACGAGTGGGGGTGAAGGGCAGAGGGAGAGGGAGAAGCAGACTCCCCACTGAGCAGAGAGCCCAACAGAGGGTTCGATCCCAGAACCTGGAGATCATGACCTGAGCCAAAGGCAAACATTCAACTGACTGAGCCACCCAGGCGCCCCTAAACTGGACATTTTCATTCTGAAGATGAAAGGCCTAGGCATGCAGGGACACCCGCAGCACACTCTCCCATGCCGGTCATGAGCCCAGCCTGGGCAGCTGGAGAGGGGCACCCGAAGCTGAGGCTTGGATCTGCACAACAGGGCAGAGGCCTTTGGGGTCACTGTGCATCGATCCAGGCGAGTTGGAATAGCACAAGGGCCAGGCTGGACTCCTGGCGTCCTGTCCTGGGGCCCCAGGCCCAGGATGAGAAATGAGGCCACACACAGGCTCCTATGACCCCAGACTCAGGGGCTGTTCCCCCTGAGAGCTGCAGCCCTGGCAGCTCTGGAAGCCAGACTGCTTTCCTAGCCAGGACAGAGCTGGAGGACAGACCAGACCCCCAGATCCCCACTTCAGGCACTGCCCCTACCTCAGAACTCAAGATGGTTCCACTGGGCTGGCAGCTCCGGGCTGACACTGCTGAGATGAGGATGAGTTGGAGACCCTCCAGTTCCTTGCCTTGCTCCTCTGGAAAGAAGGAAGCAGGCTCATGGGAGGGCATCCACTCTGCTGCCCTTGGCTGCCCATGTGTGTTGGCCCAGTGGAATTCTAGTCTGACCCTTCACCTGCCTGGACTGGACCAAGGCCCAGTCACAGGAGGCCAGGGTTCAGTGGGAGGCTGGGGTTCAGGAGCTGGTGTGCACTCTCTCCTTGTGCTCACTTCAAGCTGGGCATCTCTGGCTCACAGTGAAAGCAGGCCCCACTCCCTGGGGCCAGAGAACTGGCCTCCCAAATGAAAACCTGTGTGAGTTATTCTCCTACCTGATAAACAGATATAACTAGTTTTATGTCCCAGGAGGGCTAGCTTTGTACCTGGGAACTGGTCCAGGGCCAGGTTTACAAAGTGAGGCAAAGGTACACACAGCATGCCAGAGTGGGGCTCGCTGAGACCAGGCGAGCACAACGGGAGTTTCTCAGTGTCCTTCTAGGCTCTTCGTGGCCTGGATGCGGTGGGGACAGGGTGTGCATCCAGCATGATGTGCTGGGAACCGCCTCCACCCTGGCCCTGTGGGATCTTTTTCTTGGTAATTTTCCTGGCTTTTGTTCTGTAACAACAACAAAAAAAAATCAGGAATGACTTGCAGCCAGCCCCTCCCCATGTGGCCCACTTCCCAGGGCTATGGAGGCAGGGGAGGGGGTAGGATGGTGGGGGACCTGGGTCCTGCTCTGTCCTGGTGGGAACATCGTGTTCTGAACTAGGAACTACCCATACAACCCTTGGGAGCCGTGGGCCTGAGGGGGTGGGGTGGAGCGAGAAAGGCCAGCTTGATTTAAGAAACAGGCAGGGAAGGGTTTTCTGATAGATCCCTGAGCCCAGAACAGCTCTATCGACGCACTCCCTCCCAACCCTACCCTTGGCCCCGGCCCTAGCAGACCGTGGCCCTTCCTTCCCCAATCCCAAGCCAGGCCTGCGTGGGAGGAAAGAAGGGATCCCCAGCTGGGATCTTTAGCACAGAAAGGCTGCCTCCACCTCCTGGTCCAACTCTCCCTCCCTCCACTTTTGGACAACCTCTCTCACCCTGGCTGACTCCTGCCTGGGGCCTGGCTTCTTAGACCCCTGAGGCGAGGTCTCTGCTCAGCACCTCCTCCACCCTTCATCTCTTGCTGCCTGGCCCTTAGCCCATCCTCTAACCTGTTGTGCCTCTGCCCTCCTCCGCAATGGTCTCACCTCATTATGAGAAAAAAAAAAACAGAAACATGGGCCAGAACCCCCAGGCTTCTCCTCTGCTCTCCGTGTCCCCCTCTAGCTCCTGCCCCACTGTTTTCCTTTCACGGCAAAAGCCTGAGACTTCTGGACAGTTGCCTCCCGTTCTGGCCATAGCTCACCCCTGCGGTCCTCGGAGCCCGCTCAAGTCACCATGGTGGACCTGTCTCTCCTGCTTCGAGGACCGCCTTCTCAAGAACATCTAGTTCTCTGGGTTTTCTTCTCAGCTCTGTTGCCAGCTTTAACCCAGACTACAGTTAAACATCGGCACGTCCCAGGGCTCCATTCCACTCCCCACCCTGGGAGCTTTTTGCCAGAGCAGCGTGGCTTTCGGTGTTCTCTCCATGCTGCTCACTCCAGATATATACCTCCATCTGGGACACTGTGCTGGGCCGAGTGTCCAGTGGTCTGGGCTGGGATCCCTCTCCCATCTCTTCACTCCACCCACTGGGAACCTTCTGGAAAGTTTGCTTTGCCTTTTTTTGTTTTTCTAAATTTAAATTTTTGTTCAAAGTGTGGAATATAATGAATACAGAAAGATGCATAAAACAGACATTCTGCTCAGTGATTTCTCACCACCACTCACAAAAAACAGAGCCCAGAGGAAGGACACTGTTGGCGCCCTATAGTGCCCTACAGTAAGGTGGTCATTACCTCAATTTTCTTGATGGTTACCACCTAAACATGCCTCTCTGAAAAACCACTTTCTTGGGGCACCTGGCTGGCTCAGTTGGTGGAGCATATGACTCTTGACCTGCAGGTCAGGAGTTCTAAGCCCCACACTGGGTACAGAGCTGACTTTAAAACAACAACAATAAATAAATAAATAGGTAGGTAACTACTTTCTTCATACAGCGGTATCAACACCTGTAATTAAATGCGTAAGGGAGAAGCCATCCTAACTACTGGGTTTTAGCACGGTCTTTATCTTTTCCTCTTTTGTTTACCCCAGGCCTCTCCCTTCTATCATCATCAGTCTCTGGAAAATCATGGTGACATGGGGCACCTGGGTGGCTCAGTCCGTTAAGTGTTCGACTCTTAGTTTCGGCTCAGATCATGATCTCAGGGTCTTGGGATCAAGCCCTGGGTAGGACTCTGCCCTCAGCGGGGAGTCAGCTTGAGATTCTCTCCCTCTCCCTGCCCCTCTACCCCCTCCCCCTGCTCGTGCTCTCTAAATAAATAAACAAAATCTTAAAAAAAAAAAAGATACATGTTCCCATGTTTCTCCTTGCTTACATAATCAATATATATATACAGTTAATCCCTTCAACAGCATAGGGATTAGGGATGCCAACCGCCTGCACAGAATAAAATCCGTGTGGGCGCCTGGGTGGCTCAGTGGGTTAAGCTGCTGCCTTCGGCTCAGGTCATGATCTCAGGGTCCTAGGATCGAGTCCCGCATTGGGCTCTCTGCTCAGCAAGGAGCCTGCTTCCCTCTCTCTCTCTCTCTCTGCCTGCCTCTCCATCTACTTGTGATCTCTCCGTCAAATAAATAAATAAAATCTTTAAAAAAAAAAAGAATAAAATCCGTGTATAACTTTTGACTCCTCAAAAACTTAGTAGCCTACTGTTGATTGGAAGCTTTAGCAATAACATAAATAGTCGATTACCCTGTTTTGTATGTTATATGTATTGTATACTGTATTCTTTTTTTGGATACTGTATTCTTACAATAAAGTAAGCTAGAGGAAAGAAAATATGAGGAAAATACATATTCAGTACTGTACTGTATTTATGCGAAAATTTGCAAATAAGTGGAGTTCAAAGCTGTGTTGTACAAAGTGCCAAACGTACATGTACACAATGTAGTCTGTCTTTGTTGTATACACTAGATCATTCCATACACACTTCTCTGCATCTTTCCCACTCATCTCAACTTCTTGCAGTCCCTCCAATAGGTGGTGGCAATTCTAATTCCTCCTTTTCAATGGAGACATAAAACCTGTCCCCAGACTTTTTGATCCTCCTCCCACAAAAGGTGGAGTCTAATTCCCCTCTCCTTTAACACATATGCCAGCCCTACTGTGTATATCTGAGTCTAGGTTAGAAAGGCAATACAGCTTCCACCTGCCTTCCTCTCTCTTGGGACAATCATCCTGGGAACCAATCATGTTGGGAGGAAGCCCAGGGCGTATGGAGGTCAATGTTGGGTGTTCCCTCCTCAGCCCCAGCATCAGCTGACAGCCAGCATCATACACGCTTCAAGGGACGGACCTTCTGAGGATTTCAGCTCCAGCTTCCAAGCTGCCCAGATTGATGCCACAAAGAACAGTTGCCACTGAATCTTGCTCAAATGGCAGATTGGTGAGCACAATAAATGTTACTGTTTTAAGCCACTAAGGAGAGTTTAGGGAATTTTTTATACAGCATAGTAGCCAGAACCGTGTGCAGGTACCAGAATGTCTCTAACCGTGGCCTTGTGGATGGGCCATCACTTTGCAATTTTTCCCTCACTATACATGATGCATGAATAAATATCCCTGATCATATAAGGCACACCCAGTGCTCTCATTTCTGTAAGTGAGAATCCAAAATTTGGGACCATAGGGTCCAAAAGTGTGTGCATTTTTATTCTACTGGAGTTTGCCAAATTGCTTTCCCAAAAAGGCTGTGAACAGTCTTACCTTTGTCAATAATGTCTGGATGAATCCGTTTCCTTGCATCCTGGAAAACATGAATTGGTGCAGTTCTTTTTAACACCTGCGGGTGGACTAAAGAGAAAGTGACAGCTCATTTCCCTTTAAAAAAAAAAAATTGTCTTTTTTTTTTTTTTTAAATAAAAGAGTGGTTTGGGGTTCACAGCAAAATTGAGTGGAAAGTACATAGAGTTCCCATATATCCCCTCCCTGCCCCAACAAAGAGCCTCCCTCACCATCAGCGCCCCGTATCAGTGTGACGTGTTTGTTACAATCAGTGGACCAGTGTTGACCCATCATCAACCAAAGTCCAGAGTTTACATAGAGTTCATTCTTTTTGTTGTACATTCTGTGGCTTTTGACAACTGTATAATGACATGTATCCACCATTAAAGTATTAAATAGAACAGCTTCACTGCCTTAAAAAAATCCCATGCCCACCTATTTACTCTCCCCCTCCCTCAAATGCCTGGCAACCATCCATCTTTTTATTTTCTCCGTAGTTTTGCCATTGTTACATTTTCTTTCTTTTTTTAAGATCTTATTTGTTTATTTGACAGAGAGAGACACAGAGAAAGAGGGAACACAAGCAGGGCGAGTGGCAGAGGGAGGAGCAGGCTTCCCGCTGAGCAGGGAGCCCGACGTGGGGCTTGATCCCAGGACCTGAGCTGAAGGCAGATGCTTAACGACCGAGCCACCCAGGCGCCCCGTCATTGTTACATTTTCACTCTGATTTGCATTTCTTGTCTTCTGATATACTTGACCATTCTTTCATGTTGTGAGGTTCTGCTGGTTGCCTCCCAATCCTTTTTCTTCTTCATCTTTTCCAATAAATCCAGATTTTGTCCAGAGTGGCAAGTGTCCAGTCTCAAGTGATGGATGAATCCTGACCCTTCCCTCTGAGAATCCTAGTATGATTTCCTATAGGAAATTTCCCACCTAGTACAATTCCTATACTTTCCATAATAAATTATTCACAAAGATTTTATAGTTCTGTTATTGTTAGTTGTTTAGTAAATTTTTAAAAAATTAAGTACGTTCCATGCCCAGTGTGGAGCCCAATGTGGGACTTGAACTCATGACTCTGAGATCAAGACCCGAGCTGAGAACAAGAGTCAGATACTTAATTGACTGAGTCACCCAGGCACTCCTGGAGTAAATTTTTATTTTTATTTTATTTTATTTGAAAAGATTTTACTTATTTATTTGAAAGAGAGAGTGAGAGAGCACAAGCAGGGAGAATAGCAGAGGGAGGAGGGAGAAACAGGTTTCCCTGGGATTGAGTCCCGCATCAGGCTCCCTGCTCAGCTGGAAGCCTACTTCAGGACTCCATCCCAGGACCCTGGGGTCATGACCTGAGCCAAAAGCAGATGCCCAACCATCTGAGCCCCCAGGTGCTCCTTTATTTTTAAAAAATATTTATTTATTTATTTATTTATTTATTTATTTATTTTAGAGAGAAGGAGAGCACAAATGGATGGGGCAGAAGGAGAGGGAGAGAGAATCCCACGCAGACTTCAAGCAGCGCACAGAGCCTGATGTGGTAGCTCCATCTCACGACCCTAAGATCACAACCTGAGCTGAGATCAAGAGTCAGATGCTTAACCGACTGTGCCAGGTGCCCCATAGTAAATTTTTAACATATTTTTCTTGTATTTATCACCTTAACATGTCCTCTTATTAATTGTAGTTTTCAAAAAAGTCCTTTGCATTTTTTAGATTTCCATTCATGATATTAACTAAAAAGATAGTGCAATCTCTGTCTTTTCAATATTTATAACATTTTATTTTCTTGTCTTACTACACTTGCTATAACTCTAAAGCATTGTGTAATGAGAATAGTGTTGATACTGATCCTGTCTAGCTCCTGACTGAAACAAAAAGTAGTCTTAGTATCTGGTGTATGTTGGCTTATGATTATTTTACATTTTATATTTTTTTCATGAACTGTGCCTTTGTTAGATAATGACCATCTTTATTTTTCTCAGTGCCTATCACCTTAAACCCTACCTTCTCTGGTGTCATGTGGCTGCTCTTGCTGTCTTCTACTTTATGCTGGCCTGATCTTTCTCTCTGCCAATTCCTTTATTTTCGGTCTTTTCTTTTTTCTTTTCTTTTCTTGTGGTTTCAAGTATCTTTGTTATAAACAGTATGTATCTTTTTTTTGTCTTTCTAACCCAGTCTCTAGATTTTTAATGGGGGATCGGGGTATCCTTGTTTAGTATGACAAAGATGTTTGCCATTCCTTAATTCCTTTATGTTTATTTTTATTATTATTAATATATTTTTTAAAGATTTTATCCATTTATTTGACAGACAGAGATCACAAGTAGGCAGAGAGGTAGGCAGAGAGTGAGAGGGGGAAGCAGGCTCACCACTGAGCAGGGAGCCCGATGCGGGACTCGATCTCAGGACCCTGGGACCATGACCTGAGCTGAAGGCAGAGGCTTTAACCCACTGAGCCACCCAGGTGCCCCTTTTTATTATTATTTTTTAAAGATTTTATTTATTTATTCAACAGACAGAGATCACAAGTAGGCAGAGAGGCAGGCAGGAGTGGGGGGAAGCAGGCTCCCCGCTGAGCAGAGAGCCCGATGCAGGGTTCGATTCCAGGACCCCGGGATCATGACCTGAGCTGAAGGCACAGGCTTAACCAACTGAGCCACCCAGGCACCCCTGTTTATTATTTTTTATTTTGTGATTTTATCTTTTTATTCCATTGAACTATATGAAACTACCAACTACCTACTACTTTCCTATCTTCTCTAAGATGTCATTCATTTCACTTTTTCCCTTGGTAATTTGGAAATTCTAGTACTTTTTTCCATTCCATTAATGGCTACCTCTTCCCTCCAGGCATAAGGACTGACCCTTTACTGCGTATAAGTAGCAAATAATTTACCTATGTTATGGGGGAGAGTTTAAAGCCAATTGGCCCTTCCTCCTTGGTAGGTAACTTGTTCTATCTATCTATGAATTTGTACAATGTTCTCTTTCTCCTTGGAGTTGAAGAATTTACTATCATCTTTCCCTTCCATGCTGCCTGGGAATGAGGTCAGTACCTCCCATCTGCAGACACAGCTTTTTCTTCATGTCAGAAAAGTTTTCTTCTGTAATTTATTTGGTTCATGCCTCTATTTCATCCATCCCCATTTTTCCCTCTGGAACTCCTGGTTGTACATTGGGATTCCTAGATTTGGCCTCCAGATCCCTGCTCTTTCCTCCATGCCTTTGAGCTTTCCATTGAGCTCTGAGCTATTTTTTCCATTAGACCCAAGCACCTTCTTCATATTCCTCCAACATGCCAAGCTTGCTCTGTCCTTGGGGTCTTTGCACTTGCTATGCTTTCTTCCAGGAATGGCTTCTTTTAGATCTTTCCCTGCTTAGCCATGCCTCTGGGTTCATCTTAGCTCAGATGCCTCCTTCTCAGATACACCTTTCCTGCTACCTCGGATGTAAACAACATACTCTGCACATCACCCTTGTTCCTTTTCTCCATTAGTCACACTGCCCATAATTAAGTTGTTGTTGTTTTTAAGATTTTATTTATTTATTTGAGAGAGAGAAAGAGACGGCATGACTTGGGGTGGGACAGAGGGAGAGGGAGAAGCAGGCTCCCTACTGAACAAGGAGCTCTAAGCAGGGTCTGATCCCAGGACCCTGAGATCATGACCTGAGCCAAGGGCAGATGCTTAACCCACCCAGGCACATCTTAAGTTGTTTATTTTACTGTTACACTCGTCCTTTACTTCCCCACACTCCTCACTGTGGGGCAAGGACTCTATACATCATTCAAATTCTTGCTGTGTCCATTCTTGCTATGTACCCAGTGTCTAGCACAGGTTAGCACTTATGGAAGAAATATAAGAGTAAATTAATGTCTTCCCCAGGGACACCCTGCCCTGTCCAGCCTCAACTCCACACATAGGAGTACTGGAATGGGAGAGGGGGTGGGCAGAGGAAGGTGGGGCAGTACTTCCCTGTGAGGGGCTGAATGACTGGTGCCTCTTGGGCTCTTTTTTTTAAAGATTTTTATTTATTTATTTGACAGACAGAAAGATCACAAGTAGGCAGACGGGCAGGCAGAGAGAGAGAGGAGGAAAAAGGCTCCCTGCTGAGCAGAGAGCCTGATGTGGGGTTCGATCGCAGGACCCGGAGATCATGACCTGAGCCAAAGGCAGAGGCTTTAACCCACTGAGCCACCCAGGCGCCCTTCTTGGGCTCTTTTTATTCTGCGGTACAGGCAGGAAACAGGAGCAGAAGCTGGACTGGTCTTCATAGCAATCCTGCTGGGAGTGGGGGCCTTGGGCCTGACCCAGGACTAGCTTTAATCTGGGATGTTCTCATTCTGCCCCAACCTTCTGCTGCCCCATTTTAATTTATCATTTAATACCACAAGACATCCTTCTTATTCAGTCAGCCAACAGGTATTTCTGGAGTTTACTTGGTATTTGAGGTGCTCAGGATCTATCAATGACTAAAACAGAGAGATTCTCACCTCATAGAGCTCTTACTTTAGTGGAGGAAGCCAGGCAATGCCATATAAGGATATTGAATGCCTCCATGAGAAAGGTAACTGCTATGAAAAAAAGTAGAGCAGGGTAAAGGGATAAAGGTGATCCCATGTGTTGGCTGAAAGGTACAGGCTGCAGTCTGAAATGGGGGGCTTTGAGGGCATTAGGTTACGGTCCTGTGGAAATCTGTGGAAAGTGCATTGCAGGTACGGGAACACCTGGAGCCCAGCCCCTGAACCAGAAGAGTGCACAGGGTGTGATCTGTGAGAAACTTAAGGCTGCTGAGCAGTGGGGCTGGAGATTGAACAGAGTACATGCAGTCAGAAGTAATGGGGAATCACAGGGTCCCTGTCAGCTCTGACTTTTTCTTGGGGAGGTGCTACTGCAGGGATCTGAGCAGGGCATGAAGGATTCTGATGTATGTATTCATAGGCAGATGTGTGGAGAATGGACTGAAGGTGGCAAGGGCAGCAGAGAGGCCTGTGGCTTTGACATTGCCTTAGGGAGAGATAGTGGTGGCTTGGACTGGGTGGTGGCTTAGACTGGGAGAGCACAAGAAGTGCTCTCATTCTGAGTAGATGATGCCATGGAAGAAACAGGACATCTTGAATGTAAGTGGGAAAGCAGTCAAGAGGCATTTGGACCGAGCAATCGAAAGGACTAAGCAGCCATCCCTTTAAGCCAGAGTGAGGGGGACACAAGTTGAGTTTGAGATGCCAAGTGGAAGTCAGTGCAGATGCCTAGTTTACAGCTGGGCACTGAGTCAGGCACTCAGGAAGGATCTGGACTGGACATACACCTAGTGATGGGCGTGTAGGTGGAATTTGAAGCCATGAACCTGGATAAGGTTATGAGAGAGAGAAATGTAGATAGAGAGAGAAGGCAAAGAGGAAGAACCAGTGAGGTGAGAAGCACCAGGGCATGGAGGCCTGAAACACACGGGGAAGGTGCTTCCAGGAGAGAAGAGATCAGCTGGTCACAGGAAGGCTTTCCTGCCTACTCTCATAAAGGCAGCACCCCTCCCCCCATTTTTTAAAAAAGAGATTTATTTATTTATTTATTTGACAGACAGAGATCACAAGTAGGCAGAGAGGCAGGCACGGTGGGGGGGTGGGGGGAGGCACCCTGCGGAGCAGAGAGCAGGATGTGGGACTCGATCCCAGGACCCTGAGATCATGACCTGAGCTGAAGGCAGAGGTTTTAACCCACTGAGCCACCCAGGCGCCCCCCCCCCCACCTTTTAAACTGTTTTTGTTCACTACTGTATTTCCAGCACAGAGTGTGGGTGCTTAGTAAATACCTGTTGAAAGAACAAGCATATGCCTGAAAGCACACCTCTAAAAACCCCCAGTGCACATGCAGCAGGGGGCTGCCATGTTGGCCTCCTTTACAGAAAGACTGGAGGCCAGGTAGGAGACTGTCCACTCTCAGTGGCACCTCCCTCCTCCCTCCAATTTCCCAGCTTCACTTACATCCACTCAGGTGGGAGCCCTTCTCACCATCTCAAAGGACCCAGGACAAATGAGCCTTAGACAATACCTGCAGTGTGGAGGTTGTTAGCAGGACCTAGGTTGGACGCAGGGTCATCTACCAGTCCCTAGATGACTCTACAGCCATTCCCCTCTACATCTAGTCATCTATCCACATGCGGTTATATGCACATTAAACCTTTACTCACAGTCTACAGTCACTCTTTTGTCCGTCTTTCCATCCATCCCCGTCTAGTCCTCTGTCCATCCATCTGGTAGGGTGATGAAATTCCCAGTTTGCTACGGATCAACTCAACGTTAGCCTTGAAAAATCCACACCCCGGGAGACCCCTCGGACCCTGGAAAAATGGGACAGTTGGTTGAGCCATCCGTTCACACAGGGATCCCTCCCTGCACCCACAAGCCCAAAGCCCATCCGTCCACCCAACCACCCACCTGACCTCCCAGGCCATCCTCCCACTCGAAGGCACTCAAGGCCCCGCCCCACCCCTGGCCCCGCTCCGTGCCCCGCCCCGTGCCCCGCCCCTCCCGGACGCCGCTGCCAGGGATCCCGGCGCCCTAGCAACAGCGCTTTTCAGGCTGCCCAGTCCACGCGCCGGGCTCCAGGTGCGAGCCAATAGCGAGGGGCTCCGGGAGCGAGGCGCGGGGGGCGGGGCTCGGCGCGGCCGCCGCCATCTTGATGGGAGAGAAACAATAGGACGGAAGCACCGCGGGACGGGCTGAGGCCGCAGGTAACGCCCGCTTTGTCCAGCCTATGGCTCTGCTGCCCCGGTATATTTGGAGGAGGGTGTCTCCGGGCCGTTCAGAGGCGAGGTCTCTGCTCATTAGGGTTGTCCCTGGGTTATTTGGGGAGGGGCTCCCCCGCGATCCCGGGGGCGGGGAGATCTCCCCGGGTCTTCGTAGGGCCGGATACCCCCCGGTCGTTTGAGAGAGGCGTTATGTCTTCGGGTTACTGGGGGGGGGGGGCTATTTCCCCTGATTTTGAGGGGCAGAATCTTTTCTGGTCATTAGGGGGGGTCTCCCGGGTATCTTGGCCGTGCGGGATCTCCCCCGGTCATTGAGGAGCTTTCCCCAGGTGTTTGTGGGGGAAGACCTCCTGGGTCTTTACTTCCCAGGACAGCGGCGTCAACGGGCTCCCGGGTTATTGAGGGGGGCTTCTCCTTGAGTCTTTAGGTGGAAGAGCCAGCCCACCGCCTCAGGTGCTGTTTACCTGGCCCTGGCAGATGTGCAGCCATTTTGAGCGTTGAATGCCAGTTGGGCATGTCTGCTGGTGTCTGGTGAGGCAATCTGCACATCTTATTATCCAAAAAAGTCCTAAAATGGATCAGAGGACGGCTTCTTTAATAGCCGTAAGCTTCACCGTGGGTGGAGCTTTCATTTCTTTCGTATTTGCTTCAAGACTGCTTTTGCCTCCCATGCTAATGATTTGTATTACTCGGTTTCCTCTGTTAAGAAAGCTGTACTAGCAGAAAAATGAGGCCAGACGTTGTGAAAACAAAAGGTAGAAAACAGCAAAACCTAGTGCTCTTAAATACCAGGGACATAGAACTAGTTACTGCTTGGAATGAAACATTTTGGTAGTAAAATGTACATGAGACAAGAACAAAATAAAGTCTTCAAAAAGAATAGTTTTGAGAAAAAGTACTGAAACTTTTGAAGAGCGTTAACAAAAATGTTCCAGTTCACCAGTTCTGTGATTTTTTTTCATAAAGCATCATGATTACAGTAATTTTGATGAACTCTAGTATTTAAAATATTTGCAGTATTTACATTTTTAGCAGGGTTACATTTTAAGTGAACTCAGATGCTTATTTACACAAGTTGCTGCTGTGGACTTTGGGTAATTGCATCCTGTAACCTGGTGTTAGGTATTTAAAGAGAAGTTTCAGGGTGGTGGTGTTATTGTTTTAAATTTAGCCACTATCAAAATTAGAAGCCCGCAAAATGAATACTTTATCATATTCGATATAAAAAACCAGTTGAGGGACCCCTGGGTGGCTCAGTCTGTTAAGCATCTGCCTCTGGTTCAGGTCATGGTCCTGGAGTCCCTGGATGGAGCCCCACATCCCTGCAACGTCAGGACATCCTGCCATCATTGGTGGGGTGGGGTGGGGGTGGGGGGGGGGTCCCTGCTCAGTGGGGAGTCTGCTTCTCCCTCTCCCTCTCCTTCTGCTTCTCTCCACTTGTGTTCTCTCTTTCTCGCTCGCTGTCTCTCACATAAATAAATAAATCTTAAGAAAAGAAATAATAAAAAGCCAGTTCATCTCTTAGTAACTTTTTCTTTGGAGAAAGAGTCAGTTGGACTGTTGACTGTTAACTCCCAACTGATTTATTTGCATTGTGACTTTAGAGTAGAATTCACAGGAATTGTTAGGAACCAGGGGCACGAGAATCAGCACCAGAGTTGATATAATTGTAAAAGCCACTTTAGCAGACGGAATAGAGTTCTTTTGTGCTTTGGAGCTTTAGGAGTGACAGACCAGTACACTGTATACCAACCCCGTGTCTGTTGGAGCAGTGGAATGTAGAAGGAAGAAAGGAGCAACTGCTGACTGATGAACCTTAGCCAGTCTCCTTTCTGTAAGTGCTGGAGATGTCACTGGTATCTAGGCAACGGGGTTGAGCCTGAGCCTCTGAGGCCAGTTTGTTGAGGTGAAAATTTTCCATTGTTTGGTTCATAAAGAGGATGCTCTGGGGAAGAATTTTCCCTTTAAGTGAAGTTATTTTACCTAGTGAGATAGTTGCCCTAACACATTGAACACATTTTTGTACAGTGGAAGGTAAGCAGATGATTTCTCTTCTTTGATTACATTTTAAAGAATGTTTTTGTATTTTAAATAATTATGTTTTTGCCTACTTGGATATCGAGTAATAAAAGTAACCAGTAGTATATTTTGCAGTATATTCTGGTAGCAAGAAAAGGTCCTTTTCCCCAAAATTGAATTTATACTCCACCTCAGAGTCTGAAGGAAGAAACAGTCTCCTAAGGGGCGCCTGGGTGGCTCAGTGGGTTAAGCCACTGCCTTCGGCTCAGGTCATGATCTCAGAGTCCTGGGATCGAGCCCCGCATCGGGCTCTCTGCTCAGCAGGGAGCCTGCTTCCTCCTCTCCCTCTGCCTGCCTCTCTGCCTGCTTGTGATCTCTCTCTGTCAAATAAATAAATAAAATCTTTAAAAAAAAAAAAAAAGAAAAAGAAACAGTCTCCTAAGCGGATGAACAGTCGGACTGGGTCTGTCATCCATCACCATTTGGAGTTACCGACTCCTAGTCGATCTGATTTCATCTCACTGCCTGTCTTCCCCCATCTTAAAAACAAATAAACAAAACGTGAATTTTTTTAGGTGGCATAGCATCAGGATATATTTTTCTGTAAGTATTTCATTGTTTATCTCTAAGAGACAGGGAGCCGCCCGTTGAATCTACAGTATCATTACTCTGTTTAAAAACTAATGATAATACCTTTTTTCCCCACTTGAATACCTGGTTATGGTCAAATGTCTCTGGTTTTCCCATAATTTTTTTACAGTTGATTTGTTCATATCAGGATCCAGATAAGGTCTGCACATTGCTTTTGATTGAAGTATCTCTTTTGTTTCTTAAATTATATAGTCTCGTTCTGTTTTTCTTGTAATTGTTTTGTTGAAGCAACTGTCATTTATCCTTTAGGATTTCCCCTATGCTGGCTTTTGCTGATCACTTCCTTTGCTTGAGACCTTTTGACTACGGTGGCTGGGTTTGAAAGGGTCGCTCCTGTATATCTTCAGTGAAGACGTTGTAAAGGCTTTGCCAAGGCTCCCTCATAACTGAGCCCCAAACTATGAACCCGAGGTCTGTCAGGGACCTAAAGGGCTACACAGTGTAAGACCCTCTGACTCCCTCTGTGTCGTGTAGTCCCAAAACTATGAGCCCTAGATTTTCCATGTGAAACTGGGAGGAGATTCTGTGACTTCCAGGAGATTGTAGATGTTCTGTCTCTTTGTCTCTTTACAGACCTCCTCTTACACTGACCTTGCACCCTCTGCTCACAGGCAGTTCACACCTATGGGGTCCCTGACCCAGTGTTCTTCCTTTTTTGCACATTACTCTTAGAGTGCCTTTTGTCTTTCCTTTATAGGTAACCCCCAAATCTGTTTCCACGTTAGGTTCACTCAAGCTTCAATCCCATTGCTCCCAACTATCTGCTGAATGTTTCTTGAATGCTTGACCATCCCCTTGTATATAAGTGTCTGCAGCTCGGCGAAGTGTCTTCTGAGCTGTTTCTGACTTCCTGAACTAAAACATCCTTGTTCTGACATGGGAATGCTCAATATTTGACTCATCCCTCTAATTTGATTCCCTGTATCGGGTTCTGAAGATAGGGTCCACAGGTGCCCACGCCCCAGTCTGTATGTAGAGTTCAGTGAGGGTGTGCATTTTTCAGGAGAGGCCCACAGGCAGATGTCTCAGATTTTCCAGGGGGCCAGTAGCCCCTGAAGGGTTAAGAACAGTGGTACACCATCTAACCATCTACCAAATCCTGTTTCTCGACTCTCCCCCATCCTTCCTTAATTCCCTGTGGGGGTTGGGCACAAAGCTCTGTGGGTACATTGGAGAAGGCAGGAGAATTTGAGCTGTCAGAACTCTTTCCTACCTCCCGCCCCAGGGATAAAGGAGGAGAGACCCATGAGAGAAGGAAGCCCATTTGGGACAGGCTGGAGAGACCAGCTTGGTCTTGATCCTGATGGCCTCCTAGAGCTTGCAGTTCTGTTAGGGATACTCTTGCTCTCCTCTCCTTCCGCCTGCAAACTCCCAGGCTCAGGACTCCGAAGGCAGTGTTGCCGCCTCTTCTTTACCTTTGCTTTTGACATCTTCAAATAACCAGATTCTAAATTCATGAGCCCACAGGTTACCTGAAACACATCTATAGGATAGCATGTAACAGAGTAGCTTGAGAGCTTCCTAAGAAGCTTACATTTTTTTCTTCTCTCAAACCTCCTTTTTCACATACGCTTTTAATGTGTATAAGAATTGTATCACTTTGATTGCTCCTTAAGTAAGAACTTAGAAGACCCCTGTAAATGCTGGGTCCTGCTGCCACTGTCCTCCCCATGCCATCGCAGTAGAGATACGCTGGGTGTCTGTGAAGCCAGGTTTTCTATTTCTCTCTGCCTGGTTAATTTTCCCTACGGAGAATGTCACCACCCTGCTCCACAATCCTTGTGGTTCACAGGCATTACACGGAAGAGTGAAACGGTGGGTGCAATCTCTGTGCTCTGTCCCAGCGATTCTTCTACTTCTAAGGAATTTTCCTATAGAAATACTTCCACAAGAGTGCAAAGACCGTTACAGGGACACTCACTGCATTATTATTGTAATAAGCTAGTGTCGGTAGGGAAGTTAAAAATACATTATGATTTTGTGTGAATAATATGCTGCCTTTGAAAG